TCATGTGATCATCTTTTGCAACCTTCTATCAAGCAAAGTTAATGGGGAACCAGATTCATTTAACAAACGTGTTGTTAATTTAATAACTGCAGTGATTCACTTAACAATTATGGCAAGAAAGATCACAAAATGGGGCAAAGTTCACTTAGCTGTCTCACTTAGCAACAGAAATTTTGGGCTCAATTGTGATTGTAAGTCAAGGACTACCTGTACTATAAAAGAATGTTAAAAATAAGTTCTTGACTCCTGGTGACTTCATAGATATGTCAACGTAGACTTATTGGCAAGAGTCCAAAATGGTTTGCCATTGCTTTTTTCTATTTTTTTTTTAATTTCTGGGCAATTTCCCATCTAAGTACCAACCACATCTGACATTGGCTAGGTGTTAACCTAAGTTGACCATATGCTCAGGGGTGGGATTCTACCTGGTCGGTCCGGTTCAATAGAACCGGTTGTTATGATTCTGCCTAGTTTGGAGAATCGGCAAATCGCACCACTAGCTGGCCCTGCCCTGCAGCACCCCGCCCACTCATTCCTTACTTGGTTTGCGCGCCATCCAACTTGTCTGCGTTAGCCTAATTTTTGGTAAGTTGCTATTTTTCCTTTTATTTTCTAACCATCAGCTGTTCCGACTATCAGCTCTGCCGGGAGATTTAGATTAGCTAGAAAGCAGGAAATCATTGGATTTCTTGATTTCTAGCTAATCTAAAAGCAGAGCTGACTGAAGTTTCTATTTTTCAGTGCAGACTCAGGTAACAGATTGCAGAATGGTAGATCTCTAAGTGACTCTGTGATTCTGTGAGCAACTCAATCTGCCTGCCTGTTTTGCCTGATTTGGGGTATAAGTTGCTCTGTTTTTAAATAAAAAATTCAATATTTACATACATAGTGTGTTCTGAGTTAATTTTCTGAGTTTGTTTGCTAGAATATTTTATGAGACAGACTCAGGTAGCAGATTGCAGAATGGTAGATCTCTAACTGAATCTGTGATTCTGTGAGCAACTCAATCTGCCTGTTTGTTTTGCCTGATTTTGGGTAAAAGTTGCTTTTTTAAATAAAAAATTCAATATTTATATAAATATTTAGAATATTTACATAAAAGCCACACCCACCCAGTCACATGACCACCAAGCCACACCCACAAATTAGGCCATGCCCACAGAACCAGTTGTGAAGAAATTTGAATCCCACCCCAGCATATACTGCCACCTATAAACCTTTAAATCTAACATATTATGAAACAAAAAAAATCATAATTTTACATATAGTGCAACTCTGCAGTAACTGCTCTCTAATTCTTCTCACATTTCTCCCTCTTGCAAGCAAAATAATGCTCCGTTTTAAAGCACACTTTATTGGAAATATGTTCTCTGAAAACCACTGGTATCTATTTCCATATGCCTAATTTCAAAATTAAGGTAATTTGGGAGGAAATTCCATTATTGTTAGTACAATTATAATTATACAACGATTATATGACTGAAGATTGAATTTAACTGGAGGTGTTCCAAAGAGAAACTTTATATTCCAAAACAGAATATTTTGTGTCTGTTTTTTTTCTCTTTTAGATTCTCATAATATTAGACATTGTGGGTCATATTATTTCATTGCTATCTAACACAGTAATAAGAAAGTAGGATTTCACTAAATGTGGAGCAATTTAAGTAAATAAACTATTCCACTTGACCTTTTGGGAAGATTATTTTATTCTACAAATCAAAGGAAAATCATACAGCAGGATCTAAGTGCAGGTACTGTTTGAAGTTACGACGGACCTCCCCGGGGTATTTATGACCTGGTTCTAAAATTCCAATGGCCGCTGCCCCCCCTACAGTCATGTGATCACATTTTGGGCAGTTGCCAAACAGCTCACATTTACAGTTGCTTGCAGTGTCCATGGTCACGTTTTTGCTGAAAACTAGTTCAGTAGAACTAGCTCATACTGAACAGTGGGTTTGTTTAATGCCCACCACACAAAAGGTTTTAAAATCAGGCTGGTCTTATTGGTGACCCACTTTGTGTCACAGTGTATGACAGTAATGGGCAGGCTTCATGACAGTTGTCAGTTGAAAACCACTTATATCTATTTGAAATTCCAATCGAAAAAAAATGAAGAAGCTTTACCCCTTACAAATGGGCTTTAAAGTTGTTAACTATAGCTGGGTTATGTTTTTCTTTCTAAAAAGTAAATAATTATGAACTGCCTACTGATTCTTTTTCTGCTAGAAATACACTTTCTACATACTGTAGTATGAGATAATACTAAACAAATAGCAAGATGCATTTTGCACAAGATTCAAATATTTATTGGTTACATCATACTGAAATTCTTAATATTGTGATTTCTTATTCTTTCTACTGAAAACACCACTCTGTCTAGAAAAGAATGTGCTTCCTTCCTGTGATTTGTACTCAGTGGTGTAAGTGAATTTAGAAGATTGAAATTATTGCGTAAACACTGCTCAGGCACAACCTGGCTTTCGTTTCTAGCAGCAAGAAGAGGCTATTTTTCCTCCAGCAAAAGTGTGGAAGACTGTTAGATGTTACAATTTGTGTGTGTGTGTGTGTGTTTGTGTGTGTGTGTGTGTGTGTGTGTGTTATTTGTAAACAGAAGTCCTAATAAGAATTCTGGTTCTATCGTTTTATTTTTTGCTCAATTAATTTAAAACAGAGCTAAGAAACATTTTTCCTTAGTTTATTTCCAGTCCTGCATGTTGCTACATAGTTCTGACATCGATATATGAAATTCATCATACAACATCCTTAGATATTATTATACTATTCTTAAAGATTTAATCTTCAATTCGATTCACAATTCACCAATCTGGGACTAGTAAAAATTTAACAATTCAAGTCCGAACCAAGAACCTAAGAGCTGTTAAGGCAGCATCTGAGAATATAGGCAGTTTTTCCATATATCGAAGCAGCCCTTTGGGTATTGTTCCAAGGGCCCCTATTACTATTGATACAAGCATTGATTTCTTCCTCCATAATTGCTCAACTTCAATCTGCAAATCACGATATTTTGTTATTTTTTTCTAGACATTTCTCTTCAATTTGTGCATCACATGGTATTGCAATTATCAATGCACCAGACTTTTTTCTTTTCCACAATACTGATGTCAGGCATGTTGTGAGCCAGATGTCTGTATATTGTGTGGCGTTGATACATTAGCCAGGAGAGGACAAAGCTATTGCAGAGTAGTAGTTTGCCAAATTACTAGCTCTGCCTAGAAAATGCTTCCACACTTCCAAAGGTGCGCCATAAACGGGCGAACTGACTTCACACCAGAAAGAAAGATAAGCAGCTCTTTCTGCAGAAGCAGCATCCAAGGCCCTCCCTCCTCAAAGTCATCTTGCAAATGGGCACCACAACTGGGAAGGTTCAGAGCCTGAATGAACATGACTGCCTGCATGGTGCACCAACTCATCTCCCCACTGAAGTGGTACCTATTTATCTACTCACATACAACATGCTATCGAACTGTTAGGTTGACAGAAGCTGAAGTGAATGATGGGAGCTCATCCCACCACACAATGTTACCCATGAAACCACTAAGCCATTGTGCCTCTATCCATAGATAGTTGACATTTGACTCAAAAGGCTAATTCCCATTCTTTTTATTTGAATGCTATGCACTTCTCTTAAATATATGTCTGGGGCTTCATCTAAGTTTCGATAAGTGGACACCATTTGCTATATAGGGAGCTGCAGCTGGATAGAGGTGGATTCATTGCTCTTCCAATGAATTCTTTTTCTGATAATGAATGGTCAGTCTTAGCTATAACCATTGAGCTCCTCCATAACTGAGAGATGAAATAAACAGACAGAAAGACAGGTAGACAGGCAGATATATAAATGATAGATGGATGATAGACAGACAGACAGACAGACGGATGGACAAACAATCATGAGTAAAAATATGAACTATGCTTTTATTGTAAAAGTTTCCTGAAATCTGGAAGTTTTTCAAACCTGATCAGAATATTTTTTTTCTTAAATTATCAGGCGTTTAACCATTTCACAATATTCAACAAAGAATGAATACTTTAACTAATGAAATGGCAAAGAAGCAAAATCCCTAAGTATTGCAAACCTTCGCTTGAAAGCTATTATAATAGCTAGCCTCCCCAAATTTATCATACAAAATACTGATTGCTCATAATAACCAACAAGGTTTCTTCACAATGTCTAGACATTTTTAGAAAATACTTGTATTTCTTTAACCATCTAAGCAGCTGACATCAGAAACTGCAGGAGGACCACAAGGAATGAACTATGATGATATATTTTTCTTTATATACATATTTTGAGATGAGGTTTATGTACAGTGCTGGCTTTTCATAACAGAACTTACACTCTGGTGTCATGATCTTTGAATAGAAGAGGCATATCTCTGACAGCGGAGCAAGACTTCTCAAACACTGAACAACTCAAAAGTTAAGAAATCACTGGATACTGAAATAATTGAGATGGGAACAATAATAAAATCATATTTTTGGAAGTGTATGATATTAATTGGGGGGGAGGGATTTATGAGACTTCCTTTTATAAGAATGTTTACTTGAAAATGAAACGCAAGGTAAAAGTGTAGCCTTACTATTGGTAATAGCCTGTCTGCAAATACTTGCAAGTTAAAGTGAATTAAGGTCCCACTTGTCGCTCACCTTCTGAACACGTATCTCGTGGTCATGTGAATTCGTTTCGGGGGGGGGGGTGTGGAATGGAAAGAACCCGAGAGCATCCTTGAATACTTTCTGGACTGTAGCTGGCTCAGTGGGAGGCGAGGTGAGGAGGAGGGGAGGGTCCACGGGGGTGTAAGAGTGACCCCAGAAGGAAACAACTAACACTAACGCCCTCGCCCCTTAAACCGTTTGGCCCGTCAGAAGCCACGGGGTTTTTGAACCCCTCCATCTGAGGTGGCGCCCCGAAACCTCAAACCGGCGAGGAAATGACACCCCCACTCACAACCCGGGCTCGGCCAGAGTCTCCAACTTACCTGCGGGGTCCAGCATGGCTAAAGGCTCGGTAGAGGCAGGGGCAACGGAAGGCTGCATCCGCCCAGCGACGGTGGGACCCGGCCGGCAGGATGCAGAGCCCGTCCCGGGGCATCGACCGAGCGGTCCTGCGAAGATAAGGCGGGAGTCGCAGGAGGCAGGACAGAGGAGGCGCCGCCGGAGCCCGAGGGAGGAGCGAAGGTGGCCTTTCGAGGTGACCGAAGGGCGACCCCGGCCTCTTCGGGGCAGAGGCTTCGCTCCGGCGTCGGGCAGCAGGAAGAGGAGCATTTGCTTTCTCCCTGAAACCAAGACAGCCCCTTCTGTCTTCCGACAGGTGCAAGGATGGAGCGGGGTGTGTGTGTGTGTGTGTGTGTGTGTGTGTATGTGTGTGTGTGTGTGTGTGTGTGTAAAAAGCGGGAAGGGGCTGCAAGCTACAATTAACGCCAGAAGCAGAGAAAAGGGTTTGGGGGGGGGAAACCGGGAGATTTAAGGGGCTAATCCTTTCATTATTACACTTTTGTCAAATCCTTAACCCTTTAAAAGCCCTCCGAAACAAGACAGAACAGAACAGCTCCCCCATGAGAATCCTTGATCTGGGCAGCAGCCCCTGATTTCAAGGAAATACCTTTACCAGCACAGCATCTTCATTTCAACACCTGACCTTCTTTCTCTGAAGGGATCATGCTTGTTTTGCCATATGGGTGACTCTCCTACCAAAAAACTTCAGCAGTGGCAACTTTCTACTAACCCTTTGGGCAAAAGTTTATATTTGCCAACTTCTCAGCCAGGGAGTGATTTGGGTCTCTTTCTCTCTGTGCATTGGAATCAGAGTTGACTCCTGGCAGTTGACTGGACAAATCCTTGTAATATTCTTGGCAAACATTTCTGAAGGGGTTTGCCCTTGCCTTCTTCCTAGGATGCCTACAGAGCAGTGGTTGCCAACCACTGGGCCGGGGACCACTGGTGGTCTGTGAGTAAATTTTGGTGGTCCGCAGAGAAATATCACCCCCAAAGCAATTAATCCAGATTGCATGGGAACACAAGGCTGTCCTACCCACATAGTCTGCGGGAACACACAAGGCTTGTATCGCATGCATTGCGAACAACATGAGGTAGTGAGGGAAGGGGGGAAAGGGCAGAGGGGGAAACGTGCCCCATGCACCTTGCCTGGCCACCAGGCTGCTTCTTTCCACTTCTTTCTTCTTCTGCTTTTGGCTGCACGCAAGGAAAGCAGCAAAAGTCTTTCTTCCTCTCCCCCAAATTCCACCAGAAATGAGTCTTTGGGACCTGCAAGGCATCCTGATCCAAGAGGCTGTGCTGGTCTCACAAAGACTCATTTCTGGCGGAGTTTGGAGGAGAGAAAGAAAGGCTTCTGCTGCTTTCCTTGCATGAAGCCAAAAGTCTCTCTCTCCCCCTGAGAACGGAGCTGGAGATGGTATCCTGCAATCCCAAATAAAGAAAGATCGATTGGGAGAAAAACGGAGTGGGGAATTTTCCTGCAGACTTTTTGGGGGATTTTCCCAGGGTCTTTGGTCCACAGGATTTAAAATAATGAGTTTGGTGATCCCCGAGGTCCAAAAAGTTGGTGACCCCTGCTACAGAGAGAGCGGGAATGGCCTAAAGTCATGCAGTTGGCTTCATGCTTAAGGCAGGACTAGAATTCATGATCTTCTGGTTTCTAGCCTGGTACCTTAGCCATTGCACCAAACTGGCTCTAAGTCAAGGATCAGAGGTATTGATAAGACTCAAATCATCCACAGGAAGCATATTCTTCTATCTATTCTAGGCAAATGTCTATAGTCTTAAAATATGAGCCATTCTTATCTGTCTCGCTTTACAAAGCCCGCTGGGCATGCTTGAGGCAAAAAGAAATCTGAAACTTCCTTAAGAATTTTTTTTCCATGTTCTGGACCTGGTGAAAATGGCTAGAATGGAAGCTTTTGAAGAAAACAAACCAGGTTAAAAGATCAGGTTGAACTGGCATAGAGAGCCATTGGTATTTCCTTTGGTTTAATAATGGAAAGGGATTTAATTCCAAGGTGTTGAATTTTAATTGAGAGTTAAATATCACTTTTCATTCTAAAAATGATTGGTAGTATAGCTTCATTTCTTAAAACATTCAAGATAAACATTGGGTGTATTTGCACAGCAGCCAAGTGAAGGAATCATTAATAAGAAAGTTGAATGCTTCCTTCCTTCCTTCCTTCCTTCCCTCCCTCCTTCCTTTTTTTCATTCTTTTACTTTCTTTCAAATTGCTATTAAATTGAATTATATTATTGAAAGTTTCTAGGGTCAGGAAATTACTACAATTAACCTTCTATTAGTAGAGATCTGTAGGGGGTGTTCCCATTCTCTTGGAAATATAGGGCGGTATCGAGAACCACAGACCAGGTATTGCTGGTAACCTACATGAAGGAAAGGCCTGTCCTTCGTACCTGGGAGGTGTTCATCACATTAGTCCACATTGGTGGACATTTCTCCCAATGTCTGGGAAATCCTGAAATCCATGGACCTTAAGTGTTAACAATGGCTTCATTAAGGCAACAAAGTGGACACTACTATATAGACAGAGCAAATTTCTGGTGACACTTTGGAGAAAAGCACATAAAAGGCACTAATTGGATGGGTTATGTAGTATACAATATGTTCTAAAGGCTACACTCATCCATGAAGTGTTTATAACTGACCTCTCTAGATGTCTCTTAGCACATAATATCTACTAGGAAGGAAGGAATCCAACTGTAAATCCTTTATGTCATCACCTCTCAATGTACATACACTTACTATTTCTCCTTAACTATCTTCCACAGTGCAATTTGCCACACTATCCAAACAGCTTGGCGGGGTGGGGGGAATAGAATTTTTTAAAAAGTTATACTGAGGTGCTTCACACAGGTGTTATGCTTGCTCACTGACATGCTCGGGAACACCTTTTGGAGAATGAAGTGTTGCACAGCCCTAATACATATAATACTTCACATCCAAACAGGTAACTAGTCCACGTGTGAGAAGAGCTCATTAGGCATTTTCTATTCTGCTATAATCAATAGCAGAATAAAAGGTGGCCACTCATATGACACCAATAAAGAGGAAAAAAGATAAGATGGCTTTGTATATTAAGTCCCCATGAATTAATTTGTAGTTGTATGCATAGAACTATGTTCAGACATGTGTAGATGAAACACAGTAGACCATTGTGGCTCGGTGATCTAGAACATGCTTTGGATGCAGAAGACCCCAGGAGCAATTCCTAGTTTGTCCATCGGGTTAAAAAATTAGAGAATTCCAGCCAGTCAGAATCAAGAATTGGTCTGATCCAGAGTAAGGCAAATTGCTGGACTTCGATATACATTTGAGAAGGCCTATGGCATGACATACGTAGACTGAGGCCAAAGCAGACTTTGAATACCACTAAAATTACAAAGGTGACTCTAGCCATCTTAGCATCCCCACTTAAAATGGAACCGAGTAGAGTAATAGACAGCTTTATAAAGAATTAGAGCCATTCCATTTATCGCTCATATAATGTGGATTTATAAGACCTTTCTTTCTTTTTTTCTTTTGCGGGTTAAATAAAGACATTCTGCCAATGATTTAAAAATTGAATTACTCCTGCCCTTTCATTTCTCCTTGGTATTTTAGTAGCATGTATCTTAATCATACTGTTAAAAAGCTTGCCATTTCTGTACAGTTTGTTCAGTCGCAATTTTATCTCCCAAGCCATTTCTGAGATCTAAATCTAGAGAGCAATATACAAGTGAAGCCTGCAACCAAAGACTGAAGCGTGTCCTAGTCGTAATCAGATCAGGCTGCTCAAGGAGATAAAGGCAGAAAGGCCCAAGTTGGAAGAGGGAAAACAAAAGGTGTTTTTTGTCTATCCAGCACTTGCCAATAACTGTCCCACACTAACTTGTATTAGAACTGCTGTGAGCAGCTCATGGTTGCAGGAATGATGACTCTAGAGAAGAGGAAAAGGGGTTGTTTTGTCCTAGTTTGTTCCTGAAACATTTCCATATAAGATAGAGCAATGTTCTTGCCACCTCCAGTTCCTCTTTTGGGAATATTTGTTATTATTTTAAATTAAAAAGAAATTAATATGTTAAAAAGAAAACAAAAGCAAACAAAACTCAAAAGACAGACTGGAAGGGCCACTGCAGTCAGTTTTCTAAGTTTCTATTTTTTTTCTTCCAGAACTCCCCCTTTTTCAAATTAAAATCTTCAACAAGCCACTTTTCTTTGAGGGAGGGGGAGAAAACTCTCATGCAACTCTCTTGTAAACTGTGTTGCAAATCTTTACTATTATTATATTAGTCTAAGGAGTTCATTTCCTCTGTTTGAACATGCAAATGGCTCCTACTGCTTGGTTGGTAGTACAGAATCTAGGATTTGGGGTCATCTGTTTTGTCTGTGAAGAAGGCTAATAGTCCATAACTTCTTTCTTTCTTTTCTCCTTGGAAGAGAAAGTTAGTTTATGGTCATGTAATCAAAGCTAATATTAATGCAGGCAGGCTCAATGGGTTGTTCTCACCTCCAGATATTTCTATAGCGTTTTTCTTCTCATGGTATGATCACAGAATATGAAAACTACACAGATGGAGTGCTTAGAGATTTTGCTAGGATTTTGTATTGGTCATAAATGTTGGAAGAAACTTTGGGTTAGTCTTCCTTGAGAAGAAACGTGTAAGATAATAACTTCCAAGAAAAAATTTTTGGAGCTGGGAAGCAGGCAATTTCCCTGTTCTGCATTCTCATCTCTGTATATACAACATCAGATCATAGATTTTATCAGCTCCAAGAGAACAGAGTGATGTTTTCACCTAAACTATTTGTTCATTTCAAATTCAAATGTATGTATATGTGAGATTCATTCCAACCCATGGAGTAAAGAGCTGGTTTTCTCTAAAGATCTTACACAAGGTGGAGAATTTGGGTAGAATGTTTCAGCTGTGCTTGTAGCAATAGTTACCAGAATATTTGTAATTAAAAGCAAAAACAACACAAATCTCCAGAGGTTTTC